AGACAAATTGCAGAAAGAAATAGCAGATATGAAGGGGACATTGTTTACTCTTGCTTGTGAAAGCTATTTTTGGAAGCTATTTTTATTCATTTTATTTATTTCTAGGACTTATATACCACCCAATTAGTGCAAAGCACCATTCTGGGCAGTTTACATAAAACATAACAAATGTATAAAATGCCTGGGGAAAAAATCAGCATTTTTGGAAGTTATTTTTATTGTCATAGTTGTTGAACTGCAGGTTCCTGAACCCCCCAGCTAATCTGGGGTTGAAGGCTCTCTAGTTCAAAAAGAAAAGAAAAGAACTGTTCCAGTGTAAATCATATCTTCCTATTTAACTTCAAATTTTACTTAGTAATTTTACCCTTGGTTCTGTTACTTTATATGTACATAGAATGGAAATGAGGTCTTATAAGCACTTATTGATATTACACAGTTGATACTACACCTTAGCAGCAGTCTTATCCATTGAAGTCTGCCAAGAAGCTGTACTGCATGCAATAATTATTTAGGGTCAGAAGCTTTCGCTACAAATGAATGTGCAACTTTAGTCGCATTTGTGGAATCTTTACCACAGATAAAGATATCCCCTTAGATATGGTATCTAAATACCCTTTTACATTTGTTTTGTAAACTGTTGGAACTATCCGTTTGGGAGAGGGGAGCAAGAATTCATCCTTGGGAAAACACCATAAACCATACAATTTTATTTTTATCTATGAATCCATTCAACACTCAAGCAAATTTATTTGCACATTAACTACCTTTGTTACATTTAGATTATCTGGAATGCACTAACCTTGTTTCCTCTTTGTCTGCTTTCAGCAATGAAAAGAATGTGCATTTCCCCCCCCCCCACTACTGTAGTCTACATATTTTTGTTCATTTCCTTTATCATGTAATTCTTTCATAACCTCTTAGCTAAGGACAGCTTCGGACAAGCTTCTCTGATGGAGAATTACATCTCATGAGTGCGTTTAGCAATGGCACGCTCTTGTGTATTAGAGTATTATGGAATTCCCGCCCCCAGCTCTTTCATCACAAAGTCCTAAGCTTGGGAAAGATAAGCATTAAATACAAGACAACAACATTCAGTCCAGATTGCCCTGAATATGTTATCATCATTCAGCTTTGCTTATAGCACAGAAATATTTTAATACACCGATCACTAGAACCAAGCAACACAAAACATATCAGCAGCATTTTTCCAACAGGCCTAGGTCTACCAGCTCTCCAAGATGCTTTTGGGTTCTAGCAGTTAGTTTGTGTGCTACACAGAACCTTGGAAGTGCCTGATATTGTCACCAGAGTAAGACAGGCAACACATGTGGAAGTCACAGTTGGAGAGACTGACAGTGCAGATACTATTAACTCAAAACAGTGCTCACACATTTACTCTTCAAATGTACAAAAACTGTTAAGACCATCAGTGTTTCTAGACTGATCAGTGCACCCCACCACCACTGTCAATAAGATATATCCACCACAGCCTATACCCATCAGCAAAGTGCTGTAAACCTCAGTGTACCATTTTCAGAGGCTGGGGAAACTTGTCTTGGGGAGAAGAGGGTGAGAAGCCAATTTCTGCCAGCCCAGTTACATACCTACCTATATCTGGATTCAGACACAGGCTTTATTCCTGAGGGCATTTGACAATTTAAAGTGCATCTATACATAATGTAAGTGTGTACCTAAAAAGTAATGTGTGGCTACAGCAAACTGCATTTCCAGTCATGTACAATATACTGTACACTCATCGGGCGTTCCAGCTTGACTGTAGCTTCCTGTTCAGTGTCTATTCACTGGCAAACCTGGATCTGCTTCAATGTAATGTATGAAATATCCATTCATCCATATGCTGAATGAAATAAAGATTTGCAGAAGAAAGTTGCACAAGACTGGGTTCTTGTGCTCCCACCAAACTTACCTGTGTTCGTGAGGTATTGTGGAATCCCATGCCTGACATCGGATTCCACTCCTTGTGATGGATATGGTTCCCTTATAACTTGCTCCTTTCCCAGTGATACAATTTCTCACATAGTCTATAGGAAAGGAATTAAAAAACCCAAAATAATATACATGGCGGAGCATACATTTTTGTTAGCAAGCAAATGTACAGAAATTAGGCAAGTGATGTGCTGTATTACACTTCTGTTAGGGTCTTGCATACCAAAAAACAAATAATCATAAGCACTTTTTGGTGCTTAGTCGTGGCTATTAATGTAATAGAAACCCAGTATGCACAAATTCTTAAAAACGTTAAAGCTAGGACACGTTAAAGTTTGTACCCAAGAATTTTAGAATTTTTTTTGTCAGATGCAGACACCAATTGCAATAAACCACAAAAATATCAAAAAAGTTTGAAATATGACTCCACAATTTAAAGTAAACAACAACACTGGACAGTGTGCAAGTTCTTGGCCTTAATTATATTTACAGTCAAGAAACTTGTACTGGAAAAATGAAGGAACACCTACGGATCAAGAAATAATTAAAAAGATATTGGACTGTGCCGAAATGGACAGACTAACACTGAAAATCAAAGGAAAAGAAGATACAAAATATTATCAAACATGGGACTTATTCTATCAATGGTTAGAAGGATGTTGTATAGATTAGGAGTGTAATGTGTGTAGTAGTTGTTTTACAAATGATTATAAGCTGTACCCTGGTGACACGATGTTAAACCAATATGGATGGATTTATATAAAATAAGTTTTTTTTTTAAAAAAAGAAACTTTACAGGAGCTAAAAGAAAACTCCCTGTGTAGTTTCACGGCTTCTACAGTGGGGTCTTGACTTGAGAACTTAATCCGTATTGGAAGGCGGTTCTCAAGTCAAAAAGTTCGCAGGTCAAATCTGCATTTCCCATAGGAATGGATTGAAAACCATTTCATCCGTATCTGCTCTTTTCCGTCCATAGAAACTAATGGGAAGCTGCTATTCCGCCTTCGACCACTAGAGGGGGATATTTTGTTTCTTTTTTTCTTAGGTCAAGAAAGGTTCAGGGAAGGCAGGGAAAATACAGTCCAGGCAGTACAGTACCAGGCAGTCCGAAGAGTGTCTCCCAATCCAGTCTCTAAACGCTGAGAGGAGTGAGGAAGCAGACAGGCACCCTTTTCACTGGCCAACAGTTAACTGAAAGTTCAAATTTTGCACTTTCCCTGCCTCCCACGTGGTTTTTTTTTTCAGTTCTTAACTCAAATCTAAGTATGTAAGTCAAGTCAATATTTTCCTATGAGAGTGGTTCTTAAGTCAAAATGTTCTTAACTCAAGCCGTTCTTAAGTCAAGACCCCACTGTACTATCTCTAGGTTCACTTCATCCAACAAATTATTTTCCTAGAGAAGTGAAGTGAATGTAGGTGTCTTTTCTAGGTCTCTTTTCTAAAGAGACTTTTCTAAAGTCTCTTTTCTTATAACACTTTTCTAAAGTCTCATAACTGAAATTAAGGGGAAAGAATCGCATCTCTGAGACATTCTGACTGTGCCAAAGAGGTCTTTAAATAATGTTGTGCTTAAAGGATATTCAACTTACCTTTTTTTTCATAGAGAACAAATGTGTTGTTCTGCCTTCTCACTGCTCCATTTTCTAGGCTAGTAAAGGATAGCCAGCGACAACGTTTTGTAGTTTTATCAAACACAAATGCTCTGTGCAGAAAACAGGGTGAATGACTACTGTAATTCATGCAAGAGAGATGGTTAGATGCTTCCTTGTATGAGACAAAAAGAATCTCCATCCCACATCACATTTGTGTCCAACATGAATCAATTCCCCTCTTTCAATTTAGGAAATATTAGAATGTTTCAGAGAGATGCTAGGGTACAGATATGTAGAGATGCTACCTCCTACATACAATAAGACAGCTAGGGAAAAATACCAGACAAAGCATTATTAGTGCTGTTGGCAAACTTGCCTACTCCCCCGTGCAAATTTCTCTAGTATATCTTGGTTAAAAGCGGCTGTCCCAGAGATTTCTTCACTTTGGAGTACAACAGCAGATTCTACCTGAACATGCATTTTCAGCACTCAGCAAAAGCTAGATCCTGTCCAAATGAACACATTAAGGTTCTTTAATTTTAAGCTCTCACTTTTTCAGAAATTCTTAGAGATTGCCTGGAATTACAGTGGTGCCTCACAAGACGATTTTAATTTATTCCATGGAAATCGCTTTCTTGCAAAAACATCATCTTGTGAAACCCAGTCCCCCATTGGAATGCATTGAAATCTATTTAAGGCATTCCAATTGCGAAAAAAAAAATCACTATCTTGCAAAAATTATCTATAGAAAAAAGACATCATCTTGCAAAACACAGTTCCCCATACCATCTTGGGGAAAAGCAATCCCCCCCACCTGCACTGTCTTTGGAAATTCAATGGGTCTCAGATAGCCTTCTCCCTCTTTCTCTCTCCAGCAACAAAGAGTTTCTTTGTTGCTGGAGGGTAAAAGGAGTCAAACCCCCTTCTGTCCCCTGACCCCCCCCAAGTCATGGTGACCACCTGGCTGCACCTCCCACTCAGTACAGGGCTGCACAGCCCCAGTCCTGCCAGAGGCCAAGAGAGCTCCTCAGTGTTTTGGGGTGCCCTGCGGGACCCCCATCAGGGGCTGGGGGTTCCTCCCACAATCCTCTAGTGCACAGGTATTAGCATAATGCTAATATCTGTGCACTAGAGCAATAGTCCTCAACCTTGGGCCTCCAGATGGACTACAATTCCCAGAAGCCCTCACCACCACCTCTTCTGGCCAGGATTTATGGGAGTTGAAGTCCAAGAACATCTGGAGGCCCAAGGTTGGGGACCACTGCACTAGAAGATTGTGAGAGGAACACTTAGCCCCTGATGGGGGTCCCGCAGGGCACCCTAAAACACTGAGCTCTCTTGGCCTCTGGCAGGACTGGGGCTGTGCAGCCCTGTACTGAGTGGGAGGTAAAGCCAGGGGGTCACCATGACTTGGGGGGTTAGGGGACAGAATGGGGTAGGAGATGAAAGGGCCATTCTAACTTATACCTTAGAGGGGAAATACCATGTCATAAAAATGTTTTTCCCAGGGAGAGGCTCATCCATTGCACTTTGGGTGTATTGCTGATCCCTGTGATTTCTCTAAATGTGGGGAACTCAGCTGCATAATTTATGTTAATGAGGGGATTACATTTGTGATTTCCCTTCTTTTTTTCCCCAATCTCTTTATCCTTTGGTTTCTGGCTATTTTCACCACTCTCTATCATTTAAATTTGCAACCATAGCCCCATTGGCAATGCTTTGCAAGATGGTTTTACCCCCCAATTGGAACACATTAGTTACATAAGACCTACCTTTTTCATCCCAAAAAAGTGGGGGAGAAAGTGTATGCTGGTGTTTTTCCAGGAGGCAGACCCTGAAAAGCCATCAACACACACTTTCGTCCCAGCAGCATATACTTTTTTGGGATTAAAAAGTAGGTCTTGTGTAATTAATGTGTTCTAATTGGGGGGGGGGGACTGTCTTGCAAGGCAAGGACCCAAACATCATCCAGTGAAAATTGCACATAAAAATTGCCCATAGGAATAATCGTTTTGGGAAGCACAACATTGCTCAAAAAAGGTCACCGTCTAGCAAATTCATAGTTTTGTGAGGCAATCGTCTTCCGAGGCACCACTGTATGTTACCACAAAAATCAGCCAGCCAGCCATTTATTCAATAAATATCTCCACATCTACTAGGATCAATTGACAACTTTTTACAATTTTGTTTCTGTAAGCACAATCAGGAGTTCATGCAGTTTTATAAATTCCTACTTTGGGGGTCATTTTTAAAAACTTTATACATCAAACTGTTTGCCAAATGACAATAGCATTCACCAAATAATAATCTGGTTGTTGAACTCAGTCAACATCAAAATCGCCAAATCCAAGATCTAAAAGCCAGACTTGAAATCTGATTGAAATGTGGAACTCTTAAACCAGCATTGAGACCTCTTTTACCATAGGCAGCTCACTTTCATCTGGTTTCATCACAAGCAAGTACATATCTATTAGTACTTTTCCTTCTTGAACATTAGAGAATGAAACTTGAGGTAGAACTATTATATAAAAGCATCACTCACTGCAGGACAGTTAACCCTCTGGGAAGAAAAGCTAACAGACTTCCTTTATGATTAAACTACCTCTGGAGTAATTTTGGAACACTGTAAAAAAAAAGGTTCTGAAAACGTCTTACCATTGCAAACCAAAGCCATCCAAAATACTGCACAATTCTGCAGTGTACAGTATATCTTTGTGAGCCTAGATACACTGTTAGTCTTACAAAAAGCAATATTAAGAAAAGGAAGCAACTTCTCTCTGTCAAAGAATTGCAACTGCGTGGATCCATAAGGCGGCCAGCAATCAATCAAATAAAGCCACCAAGCTCAACTGTGAAACTGAAAATTTAATCAACTCTTATAATGAGATTTATAAAGCTATAATCTTATGGATTATTACCTATGTATAAACTCCAATGTACTCAGCAGCACCTACTTTTCAATATAGCTAAGTGCATGATATGCTATCAAGTCAGAATGAACCTATAGCAACTGTAATAGGGCCTTCACGGTAAGTGGGTTACTTAAGGAGTGGTTTTACCAGTTTCACACCCTCAGTGAGTTTCCATGACAGAGCACAGGTTCAAACCCAGGCTGCCTGGGTCCTAGTCCATCACTCTTCCCACTGCACCATTCTGGGTATGGTAGCTAAGTGTACAGGATAATATTATGGAAGTTTTCCAGTTTTTTCAGTGAACTTGGAACAGCATTAGCTACACAGTTTTGCTTTTGAAATGTTAGTTGTAAAAAAAAAAACTAAACAAAAAATCCACCTCAATTTTTACTTTGCTTCTCACTCGAGAATGTGCCAGAGCACTGGTTCTTAACCTTGGGTTACTCAGGAGTTTTGGACTGCAACTCCCAGAAGCCTTCACCACCAACTGTGCTGGCTGGGGTTTCTGGGAGTTGCAGTTCAAAAACATCCGAGTAACAAAGGTTAAGAACCACTGTGCCAGAGTATGGTGGATATCGACATGGTTCCACAACAAAAATGGTACTGGACTACAATTCCTGGAAGCTCTAACTAGCACAATGGTTAGAATTTTGGGGAGTTGTATCTTTGCAGTTAGAAACCACTGTCTCATCTTATTGTTGTGTAGTGCTGAAAAGATCATTCAGGTCAATTTCCATGGCCTCCTTTTTTTTCTCATATCCATGGTATGCCAACTCCATGAAGCATCTTCAATAGAAAAAAAAAACATTTCTGTTCACATTTTAAAGGAGTACACATACTCTAAGGCAAAAACAAATCTGTATGTATTTTAGAAAAGTATGCAAAGCTTTTTTATAATTTCCAAACGGGTAGATGTTAACAAACACATTTTTTTTCTTTCATAGAAGAAATCCAGAAATAAATGGATTTCCAACTGCAAATTGTGGTTGTTCACATGTTCAATCCAGGAGGTCAGGAATCAAGCAAAGCGATTTTTCAAAAACTCGGTCTCACACATACTTATTACTGGATATGCTTATTTTGAGAGGTGTGTAACTGATGTCCAAGTTGTAGCCTATCATGGCTAGTGCTCTGAACTAACATTTTCAAGAGGCACTGTAACAATGCATGTGCATTTAGTTATGCATGTGATATGATCAGAACATATTCATCACCATTACATACTGGAAGACAGCCTTCAGAATAGGTAAGAGCTGTTATCTGGGCTGCTTGATGAGAAGGCTAAGCAAATATGAGGCAGGGTTCAAAATTTTGTTGGAGATATACTTTCCATCACATGGGTGCTGAATATTCACTTTCTTTTGTCATAGGTTGCAATAGGTTGTTACAGAACAAGTGCACTCTGATTGAAGTACAACAACTGATCAACCCATTGCTTCTTCAGGTAGTGCTGGGGGCATCAAGAGCTCTCTCTCCCCAAAAAAATATGTAACATTAAAGTTGACATTTCTAACTAGTATTTTCAAAACAAGTACATTTCTTTGCTAATGGGATGTTAGCAAGAACTCCTACCACGCCCTCATTAAAACTTGGTAAACAATAAATATGTTGCCTTCTGTAAATGTATGTGCTGGCCATAATTATTTTAAATTGCTGTTCAAAATGAACATTTCAAGATTCAGAAGCCAGACAGGCCTAAGGTGTTTTTAAGTTCAGATCCTGTTTAGCTTTGCTCAAACTCCACTGGTGTCCAGAAGTACGACACACTTTCTTCACATAAGATATGTGAAGAAAGCACAACTGAAAGACTATACTGTATATAGACAACTCACTATAGGCACCCCTCCAGCTGGAAACAGTGAGAAGCTACTCAGAATTTAATTTATGACCCTGGTTTCAGCAACAATTATGTGGAATGCAAACAAATTTTAAGCTTGTAACTTAACTGTGTGAGAGTAGCCAATGTTACTACAAACCAGACAAATTCTCTACTCAGTTTTCTTCTACATATTACCTGACCTTAATGGGAACAATAAATTTATCTAGACCCAGCAATGGGTATCAATTCCACGACAAAGAACAACTTCTAATTCCTTGCCCAAAATCTATCATACATCTCAAGAAATAGAGGACTACAGCCTTCCCTCCATGGTAAGTTATCAATATTTTATCCGTTACACTTAGTGAAATTGTATCGTAAAGTTGTATCTGACACTCCTCAATTCAGAGCATGTCACCATAGTCTCTCAAGACTGAAGGATGCCTATGCCTATGTGGTTTCACACTACACTATTTCCAATAAAAAACATCGAAATGGCTCAGTCAATTTTTCGTGATTACATACATGAAAATCCAGGGCAGAAAAAGCTAAATTTAAGGCAACAAATAGTGCGTGCAGATCTTAACAGGCCAGTTTCTAGATCTGTTTCACTGTAAACTGCAGCTGCCTATCCCAATGCTACTTACATTGTCTGTGAAATCAAGGTAGCTCAGCCGATGGCAGCCAAAGATGTCTCAAGCACTTTTCCTATGCAAGCCAACTGTAAAATCACAGTTGTGCTACTGGAAGACACATATGGAAACAACCTACAGCTTTTTATTCATATTTCCAGTGTTTGCTAACTTTGCTCTTACAAGTTAAAACTCCACTCTATTAAAACTCCACTCTATTTTTTTTTTTTTTAAAGTTCCGTGGTCCTTGTACACAACCTGAAAGCAACAATGGCTGCTAACCTTTAGTAGACTAAAAATCTTGCAACAGACACTAGCTTTTGAATTGTGCAGGACTCTTCATTGGGCTGTAGCTAGGACAGAGAACATGGCCAAATATTCAGGTCATGCTCCCTTGTTTAAACCAAGTTCCAAAATGAAGATATTTAAGGTACAAGATTACACATCTGGAAAAGCAGCACTTGTTTGCAAAATGTTAGGGGCCTTTTAAACCAGAAAATGAAATAACAGAACAGACAAGAGACAAGACCTGAGGAATTACCGTAATGGCATAAAATGAGAAGGAATATAAAACTAGAAATGTGACTTAACTGTGCAAGATCAAAGAAAGAAAGAAAGAAAGAAAGAAAGAAAGAAAGAAAGAAAGAAAGAAAGAAAGAAAGAAAGAAAGAAAGAAAGAAAGAAAGAAAGAAAGAAAGAAAGAAAGAAAGAAAGAAAGCTCAGTCAATACTATGAAATTTAGTTCTTGTCTATCTAAACTCCAGCACACAGGTCTACACTTAAGTCTTAAGGTTTATCACATAACTCTGAGTCCTAGAAACATTTGTTTTGTATTCCAAATAGGGACTCCCATGAATTTGAAAAGGGTGATTCAGACCCTGCGCTGAAAGCTAATGTGAATCATCTGCGGAGAAAATTCAGACATACAGATTTCTAGGTCTGCAGCCAGCAGTTCCAGTGACCTTGACTGCCTTGGCATGAAAGCCCATGAATGAAAGGATGATTTCAGTCCTGTTAGCTGTCATGTCTCCCAGAGCGAATATGCATGACATGGCTTCATCACTGTCAGTACTGAACTTACAACCTCTCCCAGGAGTTGCAGGTCCAAAATCTATTTGCAGTATTCTCAGTCGAAAAGAAATTATCTCACTTGTGTACTCTCTACATGTTGATGTCACAGTAACATAATAAAAGCCAGAAGAAAAATTTAGATACAGCCCAGAATGAAATGAAATCTCTTGCTCCAGAAGGGGATATAGGGTGCCTACCGCTATAGGTAGACAAATCATCATCCGCCAAAACATGAAGAGAACATGTAACCATCCAAGTCATCCCATGTTATTCAAAATTACTCCAATTAATAAAAGGGCATACTAAAAGGGAACTAATTTGGGCAGTCACATGAAAGGATGTTTCAAATGGAAACTTTACATCCGTTTTTGGCACTGGACACTTGCCTCAGTTTGAGATTCACCAAGCATGTGGCCACCAGCAACCTATGAAACATGCTCTTTATCTACTCAGTACTCTTAGACACTTTTTATCTATGAATATCTGAAAGTGTGATCACATTCTTGCAATATTTTCATGGCCTTCATTCCAAGGCAAATGCAACAACATACTGTACGATCATTGAAAAATTACAAATAAAAAACAATGGATAAAAAACACCACTGGATCTATTTCTATCACAAATGGGCAAATTCAGCTGGTTTGGGGATCGGTTTTGTCCACTGCTGCACACTCCCAACACATATACTGAAAATTCAGGAGCAGCCAGGAGAAACTCCATTTGCAGCAAACATTTTGTTTGTTATAAGTAGGGCCTTCCCTATTCACTCTGAACTGCTACTTGTTAAGTGCTGCCATGTGGCATCCAACTTATTGCAGTCCTATGAATGGGCCAGAAGTCACACTTTGCAACTAATTAAACCCTCCAACATCAGAGCAGCTCAGTAGAACTATTTTCACCTAGCCTTTCCCAAATACTCTTCAAAACTTCCACTTGCTTGTGAAGGTTTATCAGTCGAAATTCCAGTGTCTCTTGGTGCTCAGACAAGCTTAGTACTCTGTTTAGTACCAGTGGTAAATATCAAAGCAAACTGAAACACTGCTTACTTGCAAATGAAGGGAAGGCCTTTGCTTCTGTTGCATCTCTTGGCACACTGTTCCGCACTATTTAGCAGCTTAGTTTTCACTTTCAGTGTCTTGTCTGTTCCCACTAATAACGTATCGGATGTCCTTCTATAGTCATGTAGAGGATTTCTTTTCCCCTTTCCTTCTGTAGGAAGAACAAGCAATAAACTCCATGCATTAAACAAGCTAGAAAAGAAGACTACGTAATCATGTTTCTGGAGAACAGTATATTCGCAATGAACAATAATCATGTGCTTATTTTCTCTTGCGTTTCAGGAACAGCAAGTCAAACTGTGAATTGGATTGAACATGCTGCATGTAGCTCTCAGGCTCAGATTCTTAATATAGTTACAATAAATAAACATACATAACTTTTCCAATGAATACATGCAGATAGATAAAACAGACTGGGGATTAGTCAGCAGATTAGAGGCTGGATCTAGAAATGGGAGAAATGGCAAACATAGAAGCATGGTGGGATATTCGATTAAGAACAGACAGAGACTGTACTTTTCACCTTTTACCACATATTCACGTTTAGACAGAACACTTATGCTTGGAAGCTTTTTTTTTTAAATTGCCAATTCAGTCTGAGCATTATTCACTTATTCCTGTAATCAAAAGAAAACAAAAACCTCGATGGATGACTGCTGCAACTCTTAAAATTGCTAAAAACAAAGGTGAAGCAAAAGTAAAAAAGTTGATAGAAACAGAGGCAGAATCCTAAACTCAACTTTTAGCAACTTGGATTTAAGAACTGTAATAATAGGCATAATCATAAATGTAGAATGAAAGGTTTAAACAAGAGTTCCTTTACATAAAATGCAAGGAATCCACACCTTTCCTTTAGCCTTCTCCGAAATTTTGGATATGCTATGCTTCACACCATCAGCACTGAAGGAACATGAGTGAGATTTTTTTTTTCTCAGTACAGATGACTGGGTATTCTGTGCACCAGGTTGCATAGGGCAGGAGCATTCCAAATTTATGTAGATTCCTTGGGGATTAATAATCCAACACCTTTCAACTATACATGTACTCAAGCGCACACAGTTAATCTGAAAGACACATTTCTTCTAGGCATTACTTTGTAGCTCCAATCAATATACAGTGGTGCCCCGTATAGCGAGGTTAATCCGTTCCGGATTAACCTTCGCTATACGAAAACATCGCTGTGCGGGTAAGCAAAGCCTATTGGAACGCATTAAACTTAGTTTAATGCGTTCCAATAAGCGTGGAAACTTACCCCTCCAGCGATGTTTTCGCTCCGGCGGCCATTTTGGAGCCGCCGATCAGCGAGTGCGGCGATTGGTGCTGATCCGTATAGCGATCCCCAAAAAGGGATTGCTATACGGATTTTTCGTTAAACGGTGCACTCGTTAAGCGAGGCACCACTGTACAACCCATTACCTTGATGATTATCTTTTTTGCAGAGAACGGAACACTGGAAAGTGTAAATTCATCTTAGATACTTTCCAAGCAATGGCAGATGACTGCTGACTAGAGATGATTAATGTAGCGTGCACGCTGAAGCCTCTACCAACTCAGGCCTCCAGGAGTGCTCACTCTTCTTCTCAGGTAGCTGCCACCAGGTATTGCTGTTTCAATACCAATAAATCACTGAATCATGTGTTTCTTCAAAACTTAAACTTGTTTATTGGTTTAACAAAATAAAGTAAGTAAATCACAAAATGTTAATCAAGGTCTCTCACTCACTGACACACACAGACTCTTCCCTCACTGACTATTTGGCTCACAGGCCCATAGACACACTCATCCCTCCCTCTCACAAAATCTCTCTCTCATCTCACTCAAATCTACTTTCTCCCTCATCATACACCCCTTTATATATTCCAGCTCCTCCCCCTTCGGCACCACCTTCCGTCCCCTCATTGGCTGATGTTCCACTGCCCATCTGTGACGGACAGGTGAGGGCAGGGCTGAATGCTACAGGGATATTCGTACAGGAATACAAATACCCCCATCTTGACTGCTGACATTTAAGATGCCCCTTGTTCTGTAGTTTGGCGTCATTTTTCCTGCTGACAACACAGACATCATATTGTGCAGCAATACTGGGCCATTTCCTGGTGTTCTGAATGATGGATACAGATGCACAACATCCCACATTCATATGTTGGAGGTTTATTGAATAATTTAATCCACTAACCGGAGCAGCACTATAAGTGGAATCAGAAGGGAGCAAGAACATCACCACATGCAGCCCCATTTGCCTCATTATCTGCTCCAGAAGACTGGAAGAACTTTGGAGTCTGGGGTGGCACAGAGGACAGAAGGAAAGAGCAAGAAACAGTAAGTCCTATTTAGAGCATGCAGGAGATGCATGGGGGGGGAGGGAAACACCCTCCCCCAGTTCCCCCTGACAGTGCTGGTTCAGCCTGCAGATGTGCCTTTGCATACACACATGAAGTCATGGTCATGTGATCCTGGAAGCCGTGCAAGTTTAGTTTTAGGCACAGTTCCAGCAACTAGTTTGCCACATCATGCTTTTTGTTCTTACGGGGATTAGAAGCCTGTTCAATCTTATATTCTCCCTCACCTCTCTTTAGAAAAACCAGACCAACAAAGTGGCCCTTAAGGAACCTACCCAAAATGTCAGATTACAAACAAACATTTTTTTAAAAGGTTTAAAACACAATTTAAAACACATGGCTACAAAGGAACATTGCCCAACCAGTCAATTTCCTCCCTCCAAACAACAACAGCCCAGCCTAAAAAGATACCAAAGACCTATGTGAATAGAAAGATCTTTGCCTTCTTATTGCGTTTGCCCGTAGAAAACAAAAAAAACACCAGTATTCACTTTCCTCTATGATGTACCATGATGCCTACTGGGTGGCCAAGGAACAGAGCTTCCTTCCCTCTCAGACTAACATATACTCTTGCAACTGTACTTCAAGGTCCAAGTCATTATCAGCAAGAAGAAATTACAAGAAGAATTAACTGGCACACAAGCGGAAGGATGTATTACTTTTACTCACTGGTTTGCATTATGATATTCTGAGAAAGAACTTGATTTCATTTTAGCAAAGAAGCTAGATCAGATGTTAATCTGGAAGCAACTTTTTATTAAACGCAGCACACAGCCAGAAACCTGTCACGTTACTGCACATGAAATAGACTCTTGCTTCTCTTGTTGCAATATTTCCTTCCTTCCTCTACAGAAGTTGCACCAGTGACAAGCCAAAGGGTGTCAGAAGCAATCAGATAACAGACGTTTCCTAGAAAGACTTTAAAAACAACCAAAGAAATGGCAGACGTGATCATCAGACTAGCCATTACCTTATTCAGTGTCTGTGCCCCCACAGCTGTGATATCCTATACACAGTACCATTCTGTTAGGTCCTCAGTATCGCACCACAACATACATAATATGTATATATGAGAGAATTTGAGCTGGGCAGGGGCATGTCTATACTTCCCCAGCTAAGTAAATGTGACATTGTGGACTGAAAATGTTTTACACTCCAAAGACTTTGCTGGGATGAAATTAGGCCCCTGGCTAGATTTGAAAGGCCCTTAAAGAAGCCTTGTCTCTGTTTAGGATAGGTCCAAAATTGTAACCATAAATCTCAGTCCATCCACAGCAATATAAATGACATCTATAAACCATGTGGCATTAGAAATTCTAATAGACACATTATCAGCATAGCCCTGTCAAGAGGATCAAGTCTCAAGAATGCTGCAGTACAGCCCTAGCGAACCATCAGCACCCAGGGTTATTTATTATTTATTTAAACCTTTTATATCGCAGCAGTTTGGATCCGGTGAAGTTTCCAAAAACCTTCCAAAGGTAGCCCCCATGTTGAGCACTGTAGAGTAATACAAACAGGATGCAGCTAGTGTTTGGAGCTAATATAAATTGAGGGGTGGCCAATACAGTATTCTGCTCCCAGGATGCATCATGGCCTGCACCAGCTATGAATTTGACTATTACAGGTATCCAAATTAGGTCCATTTCCAGTTTTGTTCTGAGGGTCTGTGCCCCATTTATCCAAAAACACTATTCCTTAAGGCTTCCAGATGAAGCAAATGATTCCCTCCTGCAATGGAGTATTTTATTTCAGCAGAACAAATAAGGAGGGACTCAAGCCATAAAAACAAAAACATGAAACAACATACTCTCTACAGGCCACATTTTACCCATGCTTAATCTGAAGTAAGAGGACCGTTCTCCTTTCAGCCCTCAGGTTCACATTCCCTCTATCCAATCCCCTCACCTGCAAACATGTACTGTAAAGCAGGGGTCCCCAACCCTCGGTTTGCAGCCCGGTAGCGGGCTGCGGCCTTGGCAGGATTATGCCGCAGAGACATATCTCCCGACCCCCCCGTACACTCCCCCCATGCGCACCCACCTGCATGCACTGCCCGCCCACTGGCATGTGTGCCCCGCCCATCCGTGCATGCACGCCCTGCCCATCCATGTATGCACGCAAGTGCACCCCATCCACCCATGAGCACAGGTTGCCCCCCATGGACTCCACCCCCCCAACCAGTCCGTGATTTGAAAAAGGTTGGGGACCACTGCAGTAAAGGTTATGAATGCTATGGAAAAGGGAATGACTTCAGCCTGAAGGACTTCAGTGGGGATGAACAGCTGGCTACAGCCATCAAGAAGAGGCAATTAATTCATACATAATTAATTAGTTAACAATCAGATCAGATCACGTTTACTATGGTCATAGCTTTTCTGAGCTCCAACACATCTGGAAGTTCAACGACCCTGATTTAGATAAATGAAACAAATTTACAGAAAACTGAATTAACAGAAAAGTGGGGAGAAACACCCTCTTTTAATAGAAACTTCATGTAAATATAGGAGAGGTAACTGAATACTGCTTTCAGATTAATAAGACATGCCAGAGAAAAGATTACATCTTCCACATTAAAGGGTGAAATGCCAACATACTGTATATTTATCTATGAAAGGAGATAGTGATTAGTTGATAGTTATTCAATCAAAGAAACTTACCGTAATCATTATATATAATTAAGAAAATAATTCAGTGTTTTCTGGTTTTTTGGGGGGTGTTGTCAAATAAATCAAGTTGATCGTGATCACTTTTGTATGAGCTAGCTTGCATGTGATTAACGTATGGATAATCCGAAAATAAAAGGTCTGTA